AAAAAATCAAGTCAAAGGAGACTATTCCCTTTTTGCTAAATAAAAAAGATGGCTTATCACAACAGTTTGTACAACATGATACCACTTTTTTAAGGAGAAAGAACGTTCTGCCCCAACACACCCACACAACCAAACACCCACAAGCAGACACAAAATATTTACTGTGACCATGTCTCGATAATAGAATTATGTCCAGAATTTTTTTCTCACTTTGTATTTTTCTAAGTTTCTACATTTAGTGTGTATTGTTTTAAATTTTCTCAAAAAATTCCCTTCAGGGGCGCCTGGGTGGCTCAGATGGTTAAGCGTCTGCCTTCGGCTCAGGTCGTGATCCCAGGGTCCTGGGATCGAGCCCCACATCGGGCTCCTGGCTCGGTGAGGAGCCTGCTTCTCCCTCTGCCTCTCTCCCTGCTCGTGCTTTCTCTCTCTGTATCTCTGTGTCTCAAATGAATAAATAAAGGGCGCCTGGGTGGCTCAGTCGTTAAGCGTCTGCCGTCGGCTCAGGTCATGATCCCAGGGTCCTGGGATCGAGTCCCACATCGGGCTCCCTGCTCTGCGGGGAGCCTGCTTCTCCCTCTCCCACTCCCCCTGCTTGTGTTCCTGCTCTCGCTACCTCTCTCTCTCTGTCAAATAAATAAATATATAAAATCTTAAAAAAAAAAAAATGAATAAATAAAATCTTAAAAAAAAAAAATTCCCTTCAAAAAAGTGGGAAATTTGTCAAGCAAGGATAAATACTATATTCCTTCTCCCTTAGGAGGCTGCTGTGGATTGTTCCAATGACCTAGTCCACCTGGATGGACCCAGTCAGGGCTACTGTTGAAAGAGATCTACGGCAGACGTTACCCCAGTCCCTGGCTGAAGGCTGATAGGGCACACCATGATTCTAAGCAGACCTGGCTCAGCACGGGTTGGCGAAACCCGAATCTGGGCTCCAGTGAGCTGCAGGCTGGAGACACAGTTTCTCATCAGATAGTTACAAGTCCCAGGAGGCCAGAGCTTCCAAACAGGAAAAGTAAAAATAGTCTGATGGAGGCTTCTGAACCAGAAACCTGGACTCAGATCCGCCTCTGTCTCCCCCCTTCTTCTGCCCCCAGGCTTGGTCTTGTCACCACCTTCTGCCCAAGTCAGGTCTCATTTCCCAACACCCAAACCAGCCTTTTCAGTCACCCCACCCTGGGCAGCATCAGATCGACCCTCTTAGAATGACTCCTGCTCAAGATTTTCCACGGCTCCTGGTGGGGATCTTAATACAAATGAAGTCTCCGGGGTCAGATCTCCAGGAATTCAGACTCAGCGGTTCGGGAGCAGGGCCCAGAAATCTGCATTTTAATCAGTGAGTCTAGTACCCTCTAGTAGGTACCCCTTAAAATACAAAGGCTGGGGGAACAAGCTTCTCCTGCTCCTTGACCTCTCTAGTCCCTGCATCCCAAAAGCAGCCTCTACTGGGGACAGTAACTCTGGGGAGACACAACCCCTGGATTCTTGTCTCAGTCAGAAACGGGTCTGATCATAAATAACCTCAGCTCACTGAAACGGTAAACCCAACTTGATTGGAATGCTAAACACAATTCATTACAATGTATAAAGCTGTTTTCTTACTAGCTAAGTATCCTGTCACGCTCCAGGTAAGTTTTAGAATTGAAAATAAAGGTAGTAAAATAAATCAAAATTACTGATGTTCCTGACCTAAGTTTAGTAATAGTCAGCATATACTTGCTATTTAAAAGTATCTATAACATTGACGGGGCGCCTGGGTGGCTCAGTCGTTAAGCGTCTGCCTTTGGCTTAGGTCATGATCCCAGGGTCCTGGGATCAAGCCCCACATCGGGCTCCATGCTCAGCAGGAAGCCTGCTTCTCCCTCTCCCATTCCCCCTGCTTGTGTTCCCTCTCTCACTGTCTCTGTCAAATAAACAAATAAAATCTTTAAAAAAAAAAAAGTATAACATTGAAAAGAATTTGACATGTTGAGTATGACAGATAAGTATTGTGATTCCAATTTAAAATACAGAAATTAGGGGCGCCTGGGTGGCTCAGTTGGTTAAGCGACTGCCTTCGGCTCAGGTCATGATCCTGGAGTCCCCGGATCGAGTCCCACATCGGGCTCCCTGCTGAGCAGGGAGTCTGCTTCTCCCTCTGACCCTCTTCCCTCTCGTGCTCTCTATCTCTCATTCTCTCTCTCTCAAATAAATAAATAAAATCTTTAAAAAAAAATACAGAAATTAGGAATTGAGAAATATATTGGGGGCGCCTGGTTGGCTCAGTTGGTAGAGCGTGCAACTCTTGATCTTGATCAGCGTGCAACTGCAACTGTACAGATTACTGCGTGGAGCACTGGGTGTTATACGAAAACAATGAATTGTGGATCACTACATCAAAAACTAACGATGTATTGTATGGTGACTAACATAACATAATAAAATTAAATTAAAACAATAGAGATTACATAATACAGAAGTTAGGGGTGCCTGGCTGGCTCAGTCCATAGATCATGAGACTCTTGATCCAGGGGTCGTGAGTTCACACCCCACACTGGGCATGGCATAGAGCTTACTTAAAAAAAAATACAGAAGTTCTAATATAGGTAGGGAGACACCTGGGTGGCTCAGTTGGTTAAGTGTCTGACTTCTGCTCAGGTCATGATATCAGGGTCCTGGGATTGAGCCCCCACGGGCTCTGCACTCAGCGGGGAGTCTGTTTGTCCCTTTCCCTACCCCTTTGCCCCCTCCCTGCTTGTGCTCTCTGTCTCTCTCTCAAATAAATATATGAAATCTTAAAAAAAAAGATGTTTAATATATATATAGTTAGGTAATTGATAAACCATATGTCACTAATTGATACTAGAATTATCAAGTTGAAAGGTCAGCAATGATTAGGAACACTGGCTGCATGTTAGAATCATCTGGAGTGCTGTGAAAGCTACTAATGGTGCCCCCCCATATCCCAATTTCATGTCAGAGATGGCATCTGTATTTTTTTTTTAGCTTTCCAGACTGAGAACCAGTGACATAAAAGAATTTAACTAAGTCTCTTAAAAGTATTGAACTGTTTACAAGAACTTGAAATTCATTATGTTTGTAAGTTTAATTTATTAGATTTTCTAGTAACGTTTAAATATTATTGGGAGAATATACTTGTTAGGTTATGTATCTGAAGTACTCAAAGAGAAAATCAAATATATTAAATTTATAAGCAAAATAAATGTGTAAGGGAATGTAATTAAGCTGTAAATGGGGCTGACTGTTTAAAGGAATTTAAGGTTAGTTCAACTTGAGTTCTAACATCAAAGGAAAAGTTAAGGTCATTTTTCTTATTTTTCTAGATTTATATGTATAATTTCTAAGTTGAAGTAAGCAGCTTAAAGAAAATTCAGTATTTCCAAATTGTTCCTCCAAAATTAAAATTAGCTAAAAAAACAAAATAAAATAAAACAAGCCACACCTTAACTCCCTGTGGTCTTTCTTAACCCATCTTACTTAACTAATTCCTCCCTCCTCTGAACTTCCCATCAGCCAGATTTGTTGTTAGCAAGACAAAAGTATTCTATCCTAGAAGCTTCACAACTTTGTGTCCCAAGGAGCTATCAGGATTCTTTGCAAATAGAAAATAACCGCAGTTATGGTTAACTCATCATGGTTTTAGAGCTTAGAGCTTTTCACACCTTTCTTCCCCATCCCCAATCAGGAATTCCTTTTGCTTTTCCAAGTCAGATCCAGTCCTCTAATCCCAGGTTTTCAGTACCTCTGCCGATGACTTATCTCTGGCCCAGACCTCTCCTCTAAACTCCAGATCCAAATCCCCACTGGCCTCCAGGCATCTCCGCTTGATGTCTAAGGGGCAGCTCAAACCTAACATGACCAAACAGAGCTTAAGGTCATCCCTGTGGATTTCAAGTAATTAAGGTAAAAACTTAAGAGATGTCATCCTCCATTCTTTTTTCTGGCACCCTCTACACGCATCTGTCACCTTGTTCTGTCTGTCCTACCTCCCAAAATCGCAAATCTGATCACTACTCTAATCCATATCCTAATCTAAATTATCATCCTGTCTCAAGTGACCCAACACAATAACTTCCCCTCTTCCATCTGTTCTCCAGAGAGCAGCCAGAATGATGACATTAAAATGTGAATTGGATCATGTCACATCCCAGCTTATAACCCTTCAGTGGCTTCCTAGAGCAATTAAAAAGAAGACTCCTTACTATGGGTTACAAGGCCACATATGAGCTGACCCAAGCCCACCTCTTCACAGTCCGCCCCATCGCTTTCCCTCAAGCACTCCAGGACTGCTGCAGCCTCAAGTCCGTCGCACCAACCTTATCCTGTTTGACCGACTTCCATTCGTTCGGGTCTCTGGTTAAAGTGTCACCCTAGACACCCTGGTTAAAATAGCACCGCCAGACTCTCCTCAATCAACCTGTCTTTTGCTTTTTAGAGTATTACTTGTTTGTGGTTACCACACCTCCCGATCTGCCCACACACTGAATGAGCGTTCCATGACAGCGGGGACTTGTTCACCACTAGGTCCCCAGGGCATGGCCCAGAGGCGGCACTAAGAAACTATCAGTTGAATGGCACTAATACACCAAAGTCCCTATTTCTATCCCCAAGAAGGGATGAGTGGTCCCCAGATCTCCCCCTTCTAGGTCAGGGTTCCAGGGGGCGAAGCCCAGGTATGAGAGGAACAGGAAGCATGTGCAGAACCGCCCCTTCCCCCGGACGCCAGGTAAAGGGGTTCAAGCCTCAGGGCCCAGCCCCAGGGCCCAACTTTGCCACAGGCTCCAACTCTAGGACTGGACTTGGGGCTAAAAGAGGAGACAGGCAGAGATGAGCCAGGGACCTGGGCGCCCAGGCCCTCTCACCCTTTTATTCACTCCCCGTTCCGTTAAGTTGGTGCGGCCCACAGAGCCGGTAAGGGACTTAGAAAAGTAAGCCCACATCTTCCCCTTGGGGTAAGACGACTAAGACTAGCCCCTCGACGTCCTGCCAAAAGAGGGTACCTGGTTCCGCAGGGCCCGACGGCTCCGAGCTCCTCCTCCTTCTGCTCCCTCGTGTCGCGAACTGCTTGCTGGGATTCGTAGTCCTTCCTTGAATATCAGTCTGTCCTTCCCAGAAACCTTTGGGAATCATAGCTGAGACCGCGCGGGGGTTGGGGGAGGTAAAGGGAGCGCGAGGGCTTCTGGGTGTTGTAGTTCAGGATATTCACTCAGCGAGAAATTATTGAGAAACATTGGGTAACAAATCTTACCACACTATTTGGGCCGCCTGATCTAAATCCTATGAGACTGTTCCTCCCCGCAAATCCATCACTTAACCTCTGTCGTTCAAAAGGGTAAGTGCTGAGATTCAGAAAAACTACAAATCCCATAAAGTATAGCACGTCGAGGGCTTTTGGAGAGCATGATCGGCCGCGGCGCAGGCGCGGGCTTGATAGCGGAGAAACATGGCTGCCCCAACGTTTACTGCGAGGTTGTATTCGCTGCTGTTCCGCAGGACCTCCACCTTCGCCCTCACCATCGCGGTGGGAGCCTTGTTCTTCGAGCGCGCCTTCGATCAAGGCGCGGACGCGATCTACGAACACATCAACCAGGGGGTGAGGGACTGGGCCATCCCTGACCTTGGGCCTGCCTGAGGGGTGACAGTGGGAGTGGAGGTGGGGTGGGACTCAGTCTGCCTTTACTAAGATAGAGGGGAAAACCCTGAGCGTCTTCTGTCGGTCGACTGCCGTATGTCCTCTTCGCTGAATGTGAATCCCAAAACATTAAATGATCCCACTTTGTGGGTCTTATAAGTATTGCTGTCTCACACCCCACATACCCACTTGTCCATTTGCAGGAGCAAAACCTAAAGCCTAGTGAGAGCAAAGGACTTACTGGGGCTACACCATCAGGAAGTCAGTGGCGAGTCTGGGTTGCAACCCGGACCCACAGTCTCCTCTCTGAGGGTTTCAAGGGCAGATTGGAGCGGGCGAGGGTCGTGAAAAGGACATCTCCTTAGATACTGTGGTTGGTCTTTTCAGATAGCACTCTTCACTTTCCCAGGCTTCCCACGTAGGCATTGTGGTAGTAATAATAGTTAGGAGATGGGAATATAAAATCAGGGAGCCCTGGATGGGGATACTGGGCCTTGTCACTTAATAACTGTGGCGTTCAGTTGGGCGAGTTTCTTAACCTCTCTGAGCTTCACTTTTATCTGTGATGTAGAGCTGATAGTAACTACAGTAGGCAATTACTGTGAGGATTATATGAGATGCAGGCAGGTGCCACAGTACCTGGTAGGTGGTGCACTCAAAAAATAACATTTGTTACATTCCTCAGGAGAAAGTGAAAGCAGAAGGTAGGGAATAACCACACCTTTTAGACTTATTGTGTGCCAGCACTGTGCTAGTTGCTGTACACACTTTTCATCATTACGCTGTGGCTCATGCTAGGGAAGGTCTCCTGCAGATAGCCTGTTATACCATTCACTTGTGTTTTTAATTTGAAGCTGCCTGTCCCTATGAGAGTGTTGCCACTGTTCCATCTCCTGCAGGCAGTTCTGCAGGCCGTTCCCAATGTGTGGAAAAAGCATTTAAGTATGCTGTCATAATTTACCAATCTGTGCTTTTAGGAATGAGAATCAAGGGCATCTGGCTGGCTCAGTTGGTAGAGTGCACAGCACCCAATCTCGGGGTTGTAATTTCAAGCCCCATGTTGGGTGTAGAGATTACTTAAAAAAATAAAAAATAAATAATAAAAAAAAAAAGGAATGAGAATCCAACTAGTTCCTGACCCAAGGATCATAGGTTTAATGAGATTAAAAAATGATTCAATGTGAAGTATTTGGGGCTATGCATTTAGGACCTCTTGAGTAATACCTGGGAGTTAAAGATACAAGACCTCTTCGAGGCTCTGTTCCTTAATAATTGTGTACGTTTGTGTAATTATCTCAGTCTCTCTACCTCAGTTTCCTGTAAAAGAAAGATCATCCATCCATTTCCACTTACCTTTACATGGCAATTGATAAGGTCAAAGCAGTTTACAAGTGTTAGGAATGTGCGTCAAACCTAGTGTTGCTTCCAGTTTGCCCACCCCAGCTGGTAGATGTTTTTCTCAAGCTTGTTTTAGAGAGCAGGACAGTGGGGGTAGCTGCAAAATACGAGATACAAAGCTAAAAGTTTGTGGTTCTTGTCTTTAAAATGCAGAAGCTGTGGAAACACATCAAGCACAAGTATGAGAATAAGGAGTAGTTCCTTAGAGACCCCTACCCACGTGGAAAGGACCAGGTCCACCCACCAGCTGTTTGCCCAAAACCAGGGCCTCAGCCTGAAGATGATGCTCAGATTACTCTTCATCGACCACCTTTAGCTGTTGGCAAGAAGCGGCTTCACCTGACAGACTCTTTAACTTCTGCTGTGTTTGAACTATGTTTGGTCAGAGTCATCAGCAAATAAATGTAAATTGTCCTTGAGATATGGCTTCTGCATCTAGTGCTTTGTTAACTCTACCTGATCTTCACTTGTTGGTTGAGACCACTTCAGAGACTTCTGCAAAACTCTGAAGGGCAGATTCCATTATTTTGGGTTCCCCTTTAACTTCCAGAGAACTTGGGTTTACAAAACATGAGCTATAATTGGAGGTGTTACTTTCAACTTTTGCTTCTAAATCAGTAATTCCTGTCTTTTTTTCTCCCCCAATGTAAACTCTACATCCAATGTGGGGCTTAAACTCAGGGTCCTGAGATACCAAGAATTACATGCAGGGATGCCTGGGTGGTTCAGTCAGTTTGGTGTCTGCCTTCGGCTCCGGTCGTGGTCCCAGGGTCCTGGGATCAAGTCTTGCGTTGGGCTCCTTGCTCAGCAGGGAGCCTGCTTCTTCCTCTGCCTGCAGCTCCCCCTGCTTGTGCTCATGCGCTCGCTCTCTCTGGCTCTCTGACAAATAAATAATATCTTAAGAAAAAGAGTTGCATGCATAGGGTGCCTGGCTGGTTCAATCAGTAGAACATGCAATTTTTTTTTTTTTTTAAGATTTTATTTATTTGACAGCAAGAGAGGGAACACAAGCAGGGGGAGTGGGAGAGGGAGAAGCAGGCTTCCCACTGAGCAGAGAGCCCAATGCAGGGCTCGATCCCAGGACCCTGGGATCATGACCCAAGCCAAAGGCAGACGCTTAACGACTGAGCCACCCAGGTGCCCCTGAACGTATGGTTCTTGATCTCAGGGTTGAGTTTGAGCCCCACATTGGGTGTAGAGATTACTTAAATAAAAATAAAATTTACAGGGTGCCTGGGTGGAACCAAGGGCAAGGCACTTGACCTCTCTGAGCTTCAGTTTCCTGGTCTGTTACATGGGGATAATGAGAGCGCCTTCTGTGTGGGTTCTTTGTGAGTATTAAAGGAGTTGTGAAATGCAGTTAACAGTCATAGACCCTGGCACAGGGACATAACTGCTGGTGGAAACACGGGGGGATGCTTAAGGACCTGGAGAACCAGAAGATTCTGCCGCAGGCTATGGAGCAGCAGGAATGTGAGGAAGAGGGGTTCAAGGAACATAGTCCAGTCATTCATTCAACAAACATTTGGGTGGCCACTGTGTGTGAGGCACGTGCTCGGTGCTAGTAGGCATGTGGTAGAAAACATGAGGCTTGAACTCCTACAGGAGATATTGTAAATGCCATTCTATATCAAAGATACATGGACATTAAGGAGGGCATGTGATGTAATGAGCCCTGGGTATTCTATGAGACTGATGAATCACAGACGTGTACCTCTGAAACCAATAATACATTATATGTTAATTAATTGAATTAAAATAATTTAAATTAAAAATAAAAAGATATATGGGACCCGTGCTCTATAGGAAAGCATGTGTGAACCATTTTCTTGAAGGATACTTTGCACCTATGTATTAAAATCTTTAATGTGCATACCTTTGACCCAAGAAATCCCACTTCTGGCAAATTTTCCTTGTCCGCAAGAGATGTTCATTATGGTGTTTTTTATAATGGGAAAAATGAAAATAAGATATCCAAAATAGGAATTAATATTGTGAAATATGCAGTCATTTAAAAACTTGTTTTGACTGGAAGAAAATACCCAACAAATATGGCAAAGTACCAGCCTCACTAATACATGAAGCAGTCTTCCAAATCAATAAGAAAAAGGTGAATAACTTGGAAGCTACAGCTAATGACAGAAATAGGCAGTTAGTACAAGAAATACAAATGACTACAAATATGAAAAGATGCCCAGTTTCATTAATAAACAAGATGGTTACTATTTTGTCTACCAGATCAATGAAGATGAAAAAGATTAGCAAGGGAATTTCCATATCTGTGTGTTCCCCCTATGTATGTATGCACGCTATTAAATTTGGTTTTCTCTGGGCACCTGGCTGGCTCAGGTGAAAGAGTGTGGAACTCTCGATCTTGTGGTCGTGAGTTTGAGCCCCATGTTGGGTGTAGAGATTACTTAAATAAATCAAACTTATAAATAAATAAATAATTTGGTTTTCTCATGTTTAAAAAAAAAGATTGGCAACATTAGTTTTTTGTAAAGGAGCAAGTACCACACATGGCCATTGGAACAATGGTTTTACAGAATACTTTGGTATTATCTATTTTAAATGTTTATTCCTTTCAAAACTTCTTTGTGTGTGCATGTATTAAAATACACATAGGGGCGCCTGGGTGGCTCAGTCGGTTAAGCGACTGCCTTTGGCTCAGGACGTGATCCCAGGGTCCTGGGATTGGGTCCCACGTTGGGCTCCTGCTCGGTGGGGAGCCTGCTTCTCCTGCTCCGCCTCCTTGTGTGCGCTCTCTCCCTCTCTCTCTGTCAAATAAATAAATAAAATCTTTAAAAAAAATACACATAACAGGGGTGCCTGGGTGGCTCAGTCAGTTAAGCGTCCGACACTTGATTTTGGCTTGGGTCATGATCTCAGGGTTGTGGGATTGAGCCCCAAAACTGGCTCTGTGCTCAGCATGGAACCTGCTTGGGGTTCTCTCTCCCTCTCTGCTCCTCCCTTGCCCCTCCTCGTGCCTGTGCTCTCTCAAACAAAAACAAACAAACAGAAAACACACCAAAAAAACACATAACTAAATTTACCATCTTAACCATTTTTAGGTGTACACTTCAGTGGTATTAAATATAATCATATTGGGTGCAGCCATCACCACTATCCATCCCCATCTTGTAAAACAAACTCTGTACCATAGTTCTCCAGTCTCCCCTTCCCCAGCCCCTGGCAACCACCATTATACTTTCAGGGTCCTGGGATCAAGCCCCCACATCAGGCTCCCTGCTCAGCGGGGAGTCTGGTACTCCCTCTGCCCCCTCCCCCCTGTTCATGCTCTCTCTCTCTCAAATAAAAAATAAATAAAAATAAAAGAAGAAGAAGATGATGTTCATTAGGGAAGTGACTAAAGAGGTAGATTCCTAGCACAGACATCTATGTGGACATTAAGAAGACTGTGGTGACTCAGTGTTAGGGGTAAAGAAAGATGAAATGGAAAAAAATCAAGCTGCAAAATTTGTGTGTTTAATCTTATTCCATTTATGTAAATTGATACACATCTATTTGTGTACACACAGAATACTGAGGGATATGGACTAAACATTTCATGGCCACTATCTCTGAGGGGTGGGATTTCAAAGAACTTCCACTTTGTGCAACAGATATTGCCTTTTTCTCTTACAACAAGCAGATATTGATATTCTAATAAAAAAATTTTTCTAAAAGAGAAAGCAAGTAAGGGGCGCCTGCGTGGCTTAGTTGGTGAAGCAGCCAACTCCGGATTTCTGCTCAGGTCATGATCTCAGGGTGGTGAGATAGAGTCCTGCATCAGGCTCGGCACTCAGCGGGGAGTCGGAGCCTGTTTGAGATTCTCTCCCTCTCCTTCTGCCCCTCCCTCTGCTCGTGTGCACACTCATTCTCTCTCTAAAATAAATAAATCTTTTATTTTGTTAAAGATTTTATTTATGGGGTGCCTGGGTGGCTCAGATGGTTAAGCATCTGCCTTCGGCTCAGGTCATGATCCCAGGGTCCTGGGATCGAGTCCCGTATCAGGCTCCCTGCTCCTTGGGAGCCTGCTTCTCCCTCTGCCAATCTCTCTCTCTCTCTGTCTGTCTCTCACGAATAGATAAATAAAATCTTAAAAAAAAAAAAGATTTTATTTATGTATTTGAAGAGAGAGAGCATGCGCACAAGCAGGGGGAGCAGGAGAGGGGGAAGCAGGCTCCCTGCCTGAATTGAAGGCAGACACTCAACTGACTGAGCCACCCAGGTGCTCCATAAATAAATCTTTTAAAGAAAAAAAAAAAAAGAACGTAAAAAATGGTTAGGAAGAATGCTCATATAAAACAGTCAAAATATAAAGCTAAGTGAAAAAAACAAGCCATAAATTCATGTAAAACACGATGCATTTTTTTGGTAAACATGTATAAGAGAAAAATTGGAAATGTTCATAACAAATTGTTAATAGTGTTAACTCTGGGAGAGTTATTTTCTGTTGTATTTCTCTCTGATGTCTAAATTTTCTGCATCAAGAATGTATTATTCTTACAATGGGGGAGGAATAAATTAAAAGGGGGCCGCCCAGAGAGGGTGTGAACACAGAGAAATGCAAGATGTGAGCCCCCAGCTCTGGCTCCAGGCCTAGAGCCCAGCTGCTTGGAGGCCCAGGGTTCCCCTTCCTGAGCTCCCAATGAGGATTCGTCCTTGCGTGGCACTGGCAACTGGGAGCTGGGCCTCCCCAGAGCTCTGGGTGGGTGTGCCTCACAGGTGGGGGAAATGAGGATTAGCACCCTCCTCAGACTGGCACCAAGAAGCTGTTTATTACTGGAAAAAGTTTCCTTCCCAAGCTCAGCCTGAGGTATTTCCTGGAGTCAAGAGCTGGGACAGTCTTTATGGTTAGAAAGCCCGAAGGACTCCCAACCTGCTCCCCTTGCACAGGTGTCAGGAAAAGCTAAATGCTTGGAAACCTCATCAAGCAAGTTACTGAAGTCCTCTGAAATCCTCTTCTGAGAAGTTGGCGTCCAGTATAGCTCTGCTCTGAGCAAGCAGGACCACTCTCTTGGCTAAGTGTATTTGAGAGAATGTCCTATTCTCCTAGCTTCTCTCGTTTTCAAAAATCTCTCCAAACTGGTAGAAACTATTCAGTCAGTCAGTCCGTCAGTCAACCCAAACATCTTTATTGAGTGCCTACTCTGCCTGGCCCTGTTCTAGACCCTGTTCTAGACCAAGGAAGATCCCTACCCTCTTGCAGCTTGCATTCTAGTAGGGGAGGCAGATGGTAAACAAGAAATTAAATAAAAACTTCAGCTCATGTTAAGGCTATGAATAAAATAAAACTGGGTAACATACAGGCGGTGATTCAGGTTTAAAGAGCAGTGTGAGGGCGCCTGGGTGGCTCAGTTGGTTAAGCGACTGCCTTTGGCTCAGGTCATGATCCTGGAGTCCCAGGATCGAG